TGTGAGAAGAAGGGGAGGGAGTTGAGTCCATTATTTGAATGGACATTAACTTGGCGACTGTATTTCTCTATTTCTCTTAAGTATTAATTGTGTGCATGTACCATCATAAAATTAAAATGTTATTTTTACTAGAACATAGGTATTGTGTTGGAAAAAGTGGAGTTTGGGGGTCGGGCCAGTTTCTATTGGAATTAATCCCATATGTTCTGTTGTTCACTTAGCGCGGTTTTCACTTAACACGGTACCCTGTGGGTTTTATTGACCGCGTTAAGCGGGGTACTACTGTATACGTATGGTTTTTTCTTTGATTGGTCAAGAATAAAATAATACTGAATTCAGTTATCTAACAGTACTTCACCATAATACCCAGGCCAAAAAAAATACAGTAGAAGTCCAAAAATCCGGACTGCTTGGGGATTGGGTCGGTCCGGATTTTCGGATTTTCAGGATTCTCAGGCAGTACTTTTAAAATTCAAATTTAATTAAGAATAAAGAAGAGATGAACAGGTACATTTTGATAGTTTATTCATTAGCAAATATAGCACGTTTCATTTATCAAAATGAGCAGGTTTAAAGAAAAAGCTGTGAATTCTAGAATTTTATTCTTTGCCTTTTTTATATCATAAATTGTAGACTTTCCAATGTCGTATGTTTCCATTAGAACAGTATTGCTCACACCACGTTCTAGTTTCTTAATTATTTCAAGTTTGTCACTCAATTTCAACGTTTTCTTCTTTCTCTTTACACAACGAAGTTTATCTACTTTAGGAGCCATTATTATGGGCTTGTACAGGACTCTGTAAATGGAGAGTATGACTCAAAGTTACATATGTTGTCACAGTTTGATTGCTCGTTTCAAAGTGGCGACCACGTGGTCGCTTGTTGTCGCTGTGCAGCTGTGGCGCTCACGCATGCGCGCACACATACACACAAAAGCCCGCTAAAAAAAAAAAAAAAAAAATTAGTTTTCGAAAAGTCCGGATTCTCGGGTGGTCCGGATTTCTGGCATCCCGATTTTTGGACTTTTACTGTATAGTGATATCCCCGTTAGCCGGAACAATTTCGTGCAGAACTCTTCTGTGGATGAGAGATTTTTGGCTAACCAGATGACTTTCTCAGACCCTGAAAAATTCATTATCCCCGGAATCTTTTCTGGTTACTGGGAGTAGTTTACGAATGTCTAAACTAGACATCTTGCACACACAGACTAGCCCACTTCCCCAGATTGTTTCCGAGTGCTTAGGATGCTTTCCTTGAGTCTAAACTACCAAAGTCCGTAAATACAGTTCTAATTAAGTTAGAAACTTTATTTCTTTACTATAACAATCCAGAATAGTTTCTCGAAAAGTTTGGTAAAATAAATATATTTGACAATTAAAAATCTATATGATACGGGCATCAATGAAGCTGTGTGTTACAGCAAAGACTGGTGTTTTCCACTCCCATGGAGCTAAGGGGGATTAGTGGGTCTCGTGTAACTGCCCTGATCTGACTCGATGTCAGGTGAAGGTAGGGTGGGGGAATAGTGGTCTCATATTAGTGCCCTTCTGATGGAATGTCAGGTCACCCTTTCTTGGCCGGGGGATTAGTGGGTCTCATGCCCTGAAGATGTCTTGAATAAACACGAAACCTAAAGTATTTTTAGGGAGATTGTGATAAGTATAAGTGTAAATGAGCAATGCTGTATCCCTTCAACATTACATTACATAATATTTTAAAATGTGGAGTGAGAAAGGTGTGGGTAAATAGAGAGATGGAGTGGAAATAAGTGTTGCCAAGCGCTCCTCAACAGTCACACACATGCATATGTGTCTTAATTTCCTTGCTGGGGGGTGTGTAAGTGGTGTTGGAATGTGTGTGTGTGTGTGTGTGTGTGTGTGTTGGGGTGCATGTGTGGTTCTTGGAGGGTGTTTTTGTGTGTGATGTGTGGGTGGTGTTGGTGTGTGCTGAAGGAAGCAACCTTTGGGGGGCAGGGTCGTGTGATCAGTCCCACCCCCCCTTCCTCACTCAAATGTGGTTAATTGTGATAGGGAGATGAATTTGATACCATAATGATCTCTTAATGTATTCTCTACGAAACGTTTCCAATAAGATATCCTTAAACGAAATATTTCTATATGATATAGTGGTGGGAAATGTTGATACCGGAGTCAATAAAATCAGTTATACAGGTTGTACCTCTCTAGTCCGGCATTCTGTGGTCCGGAAACTCCCGTGGTCCGGAACGATTTTAGTTTGTCCAATAGGTAGATAGGCAGTTTTTTTTTTTTTTTACTTATCTGAATTATTATTATTATTACAGGAGTATTAAATTTTTGCCACTCAGCCCCAATGTGGGTCAGTGACCTAAGTGACCTATGCTCGGGTGGGCTAATCCCTGTTAAAAAAAAAAAACAAAGCCGGAGGAAATTAAGGTTTGTTTACATCCGGCAGTTCGGCTGCTCTCCCTCTCTCTGCTTGTCTATACAGAGTACAACATTTAACCCTTCAATATATTTGAGCATTAAATAAGTGATGCTTTCATATTCTTATGTAGAGTAATGATGATATGTTTTCACATGTGCGCACTTACATACGCGCAGTCTCACTTTTTTTTTTACCATTAATGGTTTCTTCAGTTTTGTATGTAGAACCAATCAGTCACTGGTTTTGTAAGCTTTAACATAAACAATGCCGGCAGCCGTCTCGTCGTCTTGTGTGTTTTAATATTCCACGTATTATTAATAAATTGCATTGTTAATTTTGCACACACAAACATTAATTCAATAAAAACAAATTGAGAAACATTAATTAAAATACACCTAGACCCCGACTTACGACTACGTGGACTTACGACTGTCGGGACTTACGACCGCCTCAGATATAGATAAAAAAAAAAAAAAAAAAAAAAAAAATAAATTTTTTTTAAATGACACACGCATTTTCTATACTGAAACGTTTCCAGTTAATGTAGTCTCCATGTATAATTAGAAAATTATGGGGGCCCCATGTGCATTCAGCTGACTACATTAAAGGTTAAGTGCTCAGTCACACTGTATCCATTCCTTATTATTTATTACTTTCACTGTACTGTATCCATTCATCATTATTCATTACTTTTACTGTACTGTATTTCATTGTAGATTTTTTTTTAATCTATGTCGGACTTACGACCATGTCGGACTTACGACCATGTCGGACTTACGACCATGTCGGACTTACGACCTGGATTTGGGTCCCTAACCCCGTCGTAAGTCGGGGTCTAGGTGTATATATGAACAGTAAATAAGTGTTGTTTTCATATTCTTATGTAAAGTAATGATGATATGTTTTCACGTGTGCGCACTTACATATGCGATCTCTCTTTTTTCTTTACCATTATCGTTAGCTACTTCTATTGTTCCATTTATTAACATTAAATAACATGACTTAAAACAACCATATTAATTTTACTACAGCTACAACCAAAGTCTTATTTTCTTCAGTTTTATATGTAGAACCAGTCAGTCACTGGTTTTGTAATCAACGAATACAATGCTGTGTCATTTCCTCGTGTGTTTTAATATTCTACGTATTATTAATGAATTGTATTGCTCATTTTGCACACATAAACTTTAATTCAATAAAAAAGACATTCAGTAATAAACAATAATGAATCTTTTGTACATAAGAGAAATGACGCTGTTTACACGATTATGCACGTCGTCTGCACGTTGGCGAGCCGTTCAAACCCGTCGAAATTCAAGTTTCCGCCGTCCAAATTTTTATTTATTTTTTTTTGTGTGTTCCAATAAAATACGTTGAATTAAAAACTCGCGAAATTTGAGAAGCTACTATACGACATTTAACCCTTCAATATGTCTTCAAGGAGACCATGATGCAGAGAAAGTGGTACTAGTGCTTCCAAGCATAAGCACAAGTCACTATCTATCCAGGTCAGGTCCCGAGGTTGCCGGACTAGAGAGGTACAACCTGTAATTTTGTTGGAGGCACCATTTTTTTTTTCATCGAAAGAATCCTAAATACTTTATCTAAAAATTTGGTTAAATAAATATATTTAAAAAAACTAAAGCTCTATATTATATGGGTGTGAATAGAGCTGTGTTACTTTTATCCTCTTCACCACTGATCGACTCGTTAGTAGCTTGGGCGATCGGTCACTTCTCTGTTACGCACTGTTGGCAAGTGTTCTTGTGTACTGTATATATTGTACTAGCAGACACTTCACTCAGTTGACTGTAATGCATAACTAATCATGTCTTAACACTTGTGATGAAGGTTGGGTGGGAGATTATTGGGTCACATTACTAACCTAACCTGAGGCAATGTCAGGTCACTCATTACTGGGTCGGGGGATTAGTGGGTCTTATGACGAGAAGATTTCTTGAATGACATTTTTTACTGTACTGTATTGTATATGAAGGGTACAGGTTTTAATAAACACAGATTATTACAGTAATGTATCTTAACTAATTAATGAAACAAATATGCAATACAGTTGACAGTGAGGTGACCCTTTGGGGGAGGGGGATGTTGCCATCACTTTTACCCCTCCCCCCAGGGGTGGTGCGGTCACTTTTACCCCTCCCCCCAGGGGTGGCGCGGTCACTTTTACCCCTCCCCCCAGGGGTGGCGCGGTCACTATTACCCCCCCCCCCCAGGGGTGGTGCGGTAACCCCCCTCAGTGATGATGTTGGTATCCCTGAAAGTTTGTAAGTTGAACGTTCTTAAGTAAAGAAGCACTTGTACTTCAAAATTTTCCATATTTTTATTTTTTCAAATTATATGATTGAAATTTTGTCTAAGCTACACCAAGATAGTCACAATTGAGGCCTCCCCAAAAAATCGGCATCCTAGCTTTTTTTTATTCCCACATCCAAGAACAAAGGCGAGTTCACATCCTTCTTTTTAAGGTTTCAGTTTCATATTGTACCCCTTCCTTTGTTCTCAGTCTTATTACTGTAAATGAAAACCTCATATAATTTTGGAAATAAAGGTTTAAACATCTTTTTTTTTCACAGATCCTTCAAAAGAGCACTGAATGATGTGATTCTCTCCCGACGTGCCATCCGGAACATGAACACATTATATCCAGATGCTACACCAGAGGAACTGACAGCTGTTGACAATGTTTGTATTATCTGCAGAGAAGAAATGGTCACTGGTAAGGAAGAATTTCTTGTACAGTAAAATATGTCAACTAGAAATCTATGAAAGATTTGAACAGCCACTACAGGTTGACATTCCCTTATCCAAAACCCTTGGGGCCAGATGTGTTTCGGATTTCAGAACTGTAGTACGGTATATATACCGTATAAATGATATCGTGGGATAAAAATAATCCATAAATACTCTAGTACAGTTTATTTGTAAGGAAAACTTTCAGTGAAACTTCAAAACATATACAAGTACATATACATGCATTTAAGGCACATTACATCTGGCTTGATGATCTCAGAGAAGAGGGTACATCAGTATTGTCATCGTCGTCATCAGGTTGGAGTCGGACATCACTCTCAAGTGATGACTCCGCACTACGACAGATGGCCTTTTTAAAGACTTCTTCCGGTGTCATCTGTCTCATTAACATTGGTTTCTGTCTAAGGAGTCTCTCTTTAATTGAGTAAAATGCCATAATCTCATGCTCACTGATAAATGCCCGTTGTTCAAGGACATTAATTAACTGATCACACATTTTCACTGCATCGTCTATGGGGATTTTTTCACCTGTGTTCACAATGTCATCGTCATCATCACTACTATGCTTATCTTTATTTAACGCCATTTCAGCAATTTCCCCATCACTCAATGAATGCACAACAGGTGCATCATTGTCAATGTTCAGCACTTCTTTGATGTCAGAGTCCTCTAACTTATTTACACTTTTGGATGATAAACCTTTGGCGTAAGTAAGGTGGTTTGATATCATCATCATCTCCTTAGCGACATGAAATCCTTCAGTCTTCATCTGCATCTTCATCCACATCAAACATCGCTTTAGGCCAAACTCTGTGCCAAGCATTTGTTAATGTTGGTTTATCAACAGCGTTCCAACCATTAGCAATTGCGTAAATGGCATCCTTAACATTGAACTCTTTCAGGAAGCTTTGGATTCCTACACCTTTGTTGACTGCATCAAGCATACAGTTAAAAAAAGTCTTTATGCTTGCTATTCATGGAGCGTAAAATTCCTTGGTCACAAGGCTGTATTAAAGATGTCACATTGGGGGGAAAGTAAATGCCGAAAACATTACTCTTCACAAGAAGTTCAGCCAGGGTATGTGCAGAGCAATTGTTAAGGAACAATAAAATTTTAGTTTTCTTTCAGTCCAGCTTGCCTGCAATGAGCTCGTGCCGCTGGTACGAAGTGGTTATTGAACCAGTCAGAACATATTTCTCTGGTTCGCATAATAATGCACAGGTAAATTGCATACACCTTTCAAACATCTCTGTCATTGGCTTTTTCCAATCACTGCCAAGTGTGTGCAATGCACACCCAAGGACAGTCAACCTGTCCTTAGCATCCTTAACACCTGTCGGTGTTCTCTCATCAGCCGTTGTTAATGTTTTTCTAGGAACTTAGCGCCAATACAGAGCTGTTTCATCAGCATTGTAAATTTGTTCAGGACTAAGGTTTTGGCAAATTTGTCAATGTAATTTTCAGCTGCTTCATGTTCAGCAGAACCTTTTTCACCTCAGATTTTCAGAGATTTTATTCCATGACGCCTCTTAAATTTATGCAGCAACCTTCTGAGTATTCACACTCACCTTCAATGTTCAGTTCTTCACGGTATATTATAGCTTGTTTCATGACCAACAAACCAGTCAGTGGCATAGGTTCACTTCTTCATTGTCGAATCCACTCAATCAGCACATGGTCAAGATCTTCATTTTTTGTCCTATGCGATGTTTTCCTATTTTTCATTAGTTTATGGTCATCACTGTCAGTGTAAAACTTAAACAACTTGTCTTTCTGTTTGTTTAAGTCATTTACTGTGGTATTTCCCACACCATATTCTTTAGAAAGATGCCGCACAGGCACACCACAATCAAGCTTCTGTAATAACTCCACTTTCTGTGCTATCGATAATGAGAGATGCTTCCTTTTCTTCTCACTGTTACCCATTGGGGTATCTGAAGCTCTTTTTGATGTTTTCACATTGAAATTAAACAAAATCACAAAAAATATCAGAGAGCATCAGATGCAGGTGTGACTAGTAGCAGCGCTGAGACACAACTGACGCCTCACACCCGCCGCCCGGAGTGAATCAAGCGCCGGCAGCGTCAGGTCATGTTCGGCGTCACTTGGGGTATGTCATGCACACGAGTGATACTCCACGAAAAACTTTCGGATTTCAGAGCTTTTCGGTTTTCAAAATTGCGGATAAGGGAATGTCAACCTGTATTACTAATCAGTGATATTCAAACAGTAAACATTTCATAACCTTTCTTTCCCAAATTCTGTTGGGACAGTAGTCCCCCACTATCGCATCTATCCTTACGGCAGAGCTTTCGGGTATTTTACTTGCCCTCAAGATTATTTTTACCCAACCTCATAGCGATTTTATGATTTTTAGCAACTCTTGTAGTGATCTTCAGCCCTTAGCTAGTGTCTTATTGTCCCATCCCCTAGTTATAGATATTTTACGGTGGCAGTTTTTCTTCCAACTTCAGGGCCAGAAGTCCATTTTTGCTGGCTTCTGGCCCATGTGGGGTAGAAGGGAATGAGCATGCTGATGCTTTCGTGAAAGCAGCTCCTATTCGTCTTGTGCCGCATCATTCCGCTCTACCTGCCTCGATATGAAACTAGTAATAAGAGCTGCTATCCACTCGAGTATGTAATGCAGGTGGGTTGCTATTTAAGCAAACAAGCTCCGCAACATTCACCCTGCTTTGGATGCCTGGTGATATCAGGGACTGTCGTGCCACTGGGAGACTGCTTTGGCCCACCTCCACATTAGCCTCACATGACTGACTCGTGGTTTTTTAATTGAAAGGACACCTCCCATCCTATTGTGATGACTGCCTGGTCCCATTGATTATGTGACACCTCTTGGTGGAGTGCCCCAGTCTCTGAGATCTTTGTCGTAAGCACCTCTCCCAGTGCCAGGAGGGAGACGGGTCTTACTGTCTCTCTTTGGTGCTGGGGGGGGGGACGTCCTCTCCTTCGTGGAGGAAGCTGGCCTTCTAGACAAGCTTAGAGGTTTGTCTATTTACATTTAAATGTTTTTTAAGAAAGTCTTACACTATTTGTTATTTATGCATTTTACATTGCATTATTTGATTTTAGTCTTCTTTGCTTTTATTTTAATTTGGTGACATATGACCTATTGACATTGCTGGATTCCTTGCAAGACCAGGAATATTTTGAATATAAACGTCATATATTTTGCACAAAAGATAACATTTTTGCTCTTTGTAATCAAAATTCTTACATTAGATCTAAAACTTGTATGTCTAATGCAAATTCAATGATGTTTATATCCAAAATAATCACAATCCTACAAGAATTCCAGCAATGCAAATTATATTCTGGCCGGGTAATTTGTATGAATTTTATGAGCTAAAACAAAAAACATTCAGTAAATAAACACCCCTTCCCTCCTCTCCCAAGCAGGGTGAAGGTGGTCTTAGGTTTAAAGTTTTTATCATATACAGTAGAACGTCGATATAACGCGAAATATGTTCCAGTAGAGGTCGCTTTAAATCGAAGTGTTGTTTCAATGGAACAATTTAGTTGGGTACTTGAGAGAAACAAAAAATACTAAAAAGACTTTTATTAACTAATAGATATGAGAAAAATATATGGCGTAATGATATATATGCAGCAAGCACTCCCTGCAGTTGAGTTGAGAGATGGACGGTACTGTTACTGCGTGGTACTGCACTGTCTGCTGCCTCGCATCACTGTCCCTCACCCTGCACTTTCACTTTCCACTCAACTTAGTTTTTCATTACTTTATGCTGTCAAAAATAGATTTTCACCCACCTTTAGTTAGGCAAGTCATCCTCTGAAGATGCAGAACCCAACTCGGCCAGCTCATCATCCACATCACTGTCTGGTGGTGTGGTTGTGGAGGCACCTGACACGCGGGAAGCACTGGATGATGGCAGTGTCTGCCCAGACGTAGATTGGCCAGTTAATGATGTAGTGGCTGGCCTCTTGGACATAGTGGCGATGGTTGATGCACGTGGTAGAAAAGATAGTGTCACACAGTATGTCCATTCACTAGAGCATCTGCGTGAGAACGGAGGATGCGGGAGGGTGGCAGGCAGCTTTGTAGCTGCCCAGAGAGGTGTGTGGCGGAAAACATTAGGAATGAAACAAAATATTGTTTCCATATGACTCGCCAGATTTGATTCACGTAAAATAGGAAAGATTTGCTTTAAATTGATACACTGTCCTTAATTGTGGGTGTCACTTTAAATCAATAATTTTAAATAGATTTGCGTTAAATTGACTTTCTACTGTAAAATGTCAGGCTAGACTTAGCAGAATATAACTTGCATTGCTGGAATCCTTGCAAGACAGCGAATAATTTGAGTACAGGGCGCCTCCCCCAAGTTTGTGGATTTTTATTTTGCAGTCCTCTATTATTCGTGGATGACACCCTGGATGTACCCAAGAATGTCTGTGGGTAATTTTAAAGTTGCCTTCATTTTTGCAGCTAGGACAGGGAGCCATTCGTTCTAGAGACAGTAATTTCCTTTACCTGTATTGTAAATGTGTTTGTGTGTGTGTGTTTTATTTTTGCTTTTAAATGGTTTATTAATAGAGTTGCAGCCGGTGGCTGAAAATATACAGACTTACATTTGATTTGGACATAATGATATAATATGCGTTGAATACATTTACAGGGCTGTACAGTACATAAATCAGGAGTTATTTATTATTTTAACAATAGATGGGATGGTGCTATTCTTATATCTATCGGTGTGGGCTCTTATGGGCTTAATTTTGTTGTAGTGGCGGACTGTTCGAGGTGGGCGGGGTACTGCCGGTGGCAGGAGGTGGCGATGACGAGGGTGGTGCATTGGTTGGCTGCCAAACCTTTCCAGTGCTTGGTGGTGGAGGTCACTGAGGGATGGCATTTCCAGGGTGGAGAGAGCATTGATGTAGCCGGAGTATTCTGCGCCGAGCATTATTCTGCAGGCCTTTTTCTGTACCTTCTCTAGCCGACGTTCTTGGGTGGAGTTGAGAGAAGATGACCAGGCTGGTGACGCATTCGTTAGTTTGGGAAGACTAAAGGCGTTGTAGATAGTCCTCAGCTCTGGCGTGGGTGTCCCAAGTGACCTAAGTCGTCGTAGCATGTAGAGATGGTACGAGGCTGCCTTGACTGTGTTATTTACATAGGCCTTCCAGTCCAGTTTGTTGTCTATAGTGACACCCAGGAGTTTGGCAGACTGCACTAGCTGGAGAGGATGGGCACCCACTGTGACTGCTGGGGCTTGCACTGGAGTGGTGGCGGTATTGATGTGCATGACTATGGTTTTGGTGTGGTTGACGATGACCTTGTTCTCCGTAGTCCATGCCTGTAGCCTGTCCAGGGTGCCTAGTAGCAATGAGTAGTCTGGTGCGGTGTTGTCCACTGAAACCCCCACAGTGCAGTCAT